GATGGACCAGTTGACGAGCGGCTTCGGCTCGAACAACCCTGGCGATGACGGAGTCCTCGAGAATGCCTGCAGCGTGGGCATCGCGGCCGTCAAGGACCAATGCTCGGCGTGCGACGGCTGCACCGAGTGCTCCGTCGCGCGGCTGTTGGACGACGCGCGCAGGGACAGCCGCGCGGCGGCGCAGGCGGGCCCCCTCGCGGCGGCCACCGCCGTGGCGATCCCGCTGTGCCTCCTCGCGGTAGCCTCGGGCGCGGCCGCCTTGCTCGCGGGGCTCCACCGGCGCGCCTCCGCGGCGCCGCTGGCCGTGCCGACGGAGCTTGGCGCGCTGTCCGAGACCGATGGCCAGTTGAGCTGATTGGCAGCGCCGGCTGTCTCCAATCGTTTGATGTTATCCGTAAGGGTTTCGCCCCCTGCCGCCGGCCCCCTCTCTATCAGAATGGGTTATGTCAGAGTCGCGTCGGTGCGTCTCGGCGCGCTGCTTTGGCGCATCTGGGAGCATCATGCGGGGGCGGATCGGAATCATCGGCGCATATTGAGACGCTGGGCGCCTCTTTGGGCCTCTTGGGGCCTCTCGGCGGCCTCTTGGGGCCGTCTGAGGCTTCTCGGTGTACATCGAATGTTCGGTTCGTGCTTGGGCCCCTCTCTGGGCCGTCTTCGGGCCCTCTTGGGCCGTCTTGAGCGCTTCTTGGGCCATTTTGGAGCCCTCTTGGGCCGTCTTGGGGCCCTCTTGGAGGCGTCTTGGGCTGCCTCGTTGCGGTTTGGAGCTTTTTGAGCCGTCTTGGAGCGTCGGAAAGCAGAAAATGCGAGAAGGCCAAACTCTTTCAACATCTTTGTGTAAAGTCTACGATTTGGGCCTCTTGGGGCTCTCTCGGAAGGCCTCTTGGAGCGCCCTGAGGGCCTCTTTGGGCCCTTATGTCGGGGGTGGACAGAACCCCCACCCTGACACGTCGATTAGTGAATTGTCCGTTTTCGGTTCTCGAGAGGGCGCCGTGGCCGTCAGTTTCCAGGCTTTCGCCCGCCAGATTTGGGCCCGAGGTCGTTTTCACTAAACCACGTTTTGCTAAAGGGGGTTCTGTCCATCCCCGATTATGGGCCGTCTTGGAACCTCCTTCGGGCGCCTTGGAGCACTCTTGGCCTCGGCAATGCGAATTTGGTGTAATTTGCTTAGGTTTATGGCTTCAGTGACGCGAATATAGTTCAATGTGCAAGGGCGTGTTGCTTCGGGGACGGGAATATCGTGTAATTTACAACGGTTTGTGGCCTCCTGGGCGTAAACATTGTGTATTTTACGAGGGCTTGTGGCCTGGGGGACGCGAGTATTGAGTAATGTATTGGGGATTTTGGCTTCGGGGACGCGAACCTCATGTATTTTTATATGTTCCACGCGCCCCCATGAATTCACAGAACGCGATCCCGACTTGGTGAATTGGGTGGTTTGAGGCTCCACTTGACAGTAGGAAGCACACTTCGGCCTACAGCCTGGTGGCCTCACAAGGGGACCGGCAGACTTCAGCAATGAAGTCAACATCCGTAACATGGGCGCAAGGTCATAATGCAAGACCCTTGAAAGTCCCACTTGCCATTCAGAGCCTCGTGTGCGTTGGGGCAGATTGCAGGGGGTGCGGTGATTAGTCCGGTGTGCTGATCCAAACAGGCTGGCCACAAAGTTTCCCGAACGACTGGGTTTGGCTTGCCTGTGGATCCCATCTCGCGCCACCGCGCGGCTGTGAGTTCGACCCACGACGATCTCACAGCGGCAAAGCATGTGGACAGATGTTGCCCATTGTAGCTCGAAGCCAATGGCGGAAGACCGACGGGCTCCTCCTCCTCCCTCTCCCCCCAGGGAGCCCCTTCGCCTCCCCTTCTCTTCCCTCTTCGTCCGGCTACGTCCAGCCGCGGCGAAGAGAAAGGTCCGCCCAGGGCCTCTCGGGCCTGTCTCAGGCCGACGTGAGCGGATCGCAGGAAGTCGTGGAAGCCACTTAGACCGTTTCCGTGATCCTTGGGGACGGAGAGGGTATCGAAACACAGAGGCCCCGAAGAGTTCGACCATCCAGCCTAGCTAGAACTTGAGCGCGCGCGCGAAGCGCACGCGGTGGTTCTAGAATCTCTCTCTCTCTCTCTCTCTCTATATATATATACACATGTATACACATTGTGTATATTTTCACACACACATACATACATACATATATATATATATATATATATACACAGTCGGCCCTGCTTGGAAGGCCGGCCCTGCCACATCGAGGGTACCCGTGTGTCTTGTGTGTCGCGACCCATGCCTTCTGCCTTCTAAGGCAACGTGGCCTTCGGAAGGGTCTTGGGTCCTACTTCCTCGTCCCTCCTTCCCTCCGCCCCTCCCCTCCTCCCCCCTCCGTCCCTCCTTCCCTCCCGCCCCCTGGCCTTGCATCCAGTCCTCCCTCTCTCCTCTTCCTCCCCTCGCCCCCCAGCTTTCCTGCTCCTCCCTCCCCTCCTGGGGCGGCCCCGCCAGAGCGCCAGACGGGCCCCGCCAGAGTGAACGGGGCATCGCTATACCCATCATCAACAAGCTGCTTTGCCCCTTCCACCCCTCAAGGGCGGCCCTGGCAAAGTGAGAGGATGCTGCTATACCATATGCAGTCTCTGTTCTGCCTTGCTCCTCTCATCGCACCCGAGGTAGCACAGGGTGTGGCTACCCATATTTTTTTCCCAGGTTTCGTGCTCCTCCTTCCCCTCCCGGGCAAGCTCCGCCAGAGCGCCAGGGACCCCCCCGCCAGAGAGAGCTTGCGGGGCGGACCCGCCCGAGCTAGCGGACAAACTCATGTATCGTGGCCCTCCTTCACCTCTTGAAAAGGCCTCGCCAGAGCGCCAAGAAGGTACCGCCAGAGGCCCCGTCAGAGCTCCAGGCGGCCCCATACATGGGACTTGCCAGGCAAACCGTTGAGCATCCCACGGGTGCGATTATCGTTGGCATGAGGTTTGGCTTCCTCATTTCCGTGGACGGACTCGACAACCAGTGATGGCATAATAGGGCAGTGATGACAGGGGCAAATGCGCGCGCCCTCCGCAGATATTCGGCAGCAGAACGACTGCTGAATACGAAGAACCTGGAGCACAAGGCAAGGGAAATAAAACAACGCGCTCCCACGCGAGCGCAACGAGGCCCCGAGTCAACCCCAATGTCAGTAGCCGGCGGATGTCTGCGTGACCGGGCATGGGGAGGCCGAGCATTGTGCGCACGCGTTGAATGTCACGACGGACCAGAGCGGAACTGACAATTGGGGAACAACGCAGTTCGATAAACCAAACAAAAGGCGGCAACGAGATTGTGAGATACGCGGGAGCGTGGCGCCCCGCGTTCTGATTACGCGTTTCTTTGCGTCGATGGCGTGGGCCCGAGAACACTGGAATTCGTCGTTGTGGCCAAAGCGCGGCTTACAGCGGCGCCCGTGGCTCACCTGCGACTAGAATTTAAGCGCGCGCGTAGCGCGCGGGGGTTCTATGTATAAGATGTATAGTAAGGTGGTTCGGTAGAGATCCCCCCAGCCTGCGGGCGCCGAGTCCGCAACCATCAGGGACGGTTCTTTGCTACCCTCCCGGCTCGCTTCCCAAAGGCGGCCCAGCGAGGCCAAAGGGGTGCTTAAAACGGAACAAGAGGCTTTGAATCAGCCCTCGAGATGGTTCAGGAGCGCGCTAATACGCCTAGGACGGCTGGCCCAACAGGCTTCGCAGAAACTCGAAAACGCTTCAAAAGAACCGCCGACAGGGCCCAATGACCAACAAATCATTGATTGCCCCTGTGTGTTGGTATGTTTGTTTTTCTCGCGTTATGGGCTTCCGACTTTCCAAGATGGCCCCAGGGGCCTCCAAGACATTCCAAAACGGCCCAAGAGGCCCCCAAGAGGGCCCCGAAACGGCCCACGAGGGCCCCAAAACGGCCCGAGAGGCGCCCAAGATCGCCCAAGAGGGCCCCACGACGGCCCCATGGCCCAAGAGCGGGAGCACGAACCGACAATTCGAGGCCCCAGGAGGCCCCCAAGAGGCCCCTCCTGGGGGAGCCCCAGGAGGCTCCGGGAGGCCCCAGGAGGCCCGAATGTGGCCCCCAATGAGGCCCCACGTGGCCCCAAAGAGGCTCGAAACAAAATCCAACAGAACCCCAAGCGACCCCCAAGAGGCTTCCAACACTGCCTCCCCCTCCTCCTCTCCCTCCCCCTCTCCCTTCCTTCCTCCCCCTCTCCCTCCCCCTCTCCCTCCCCCTTCCCTCCCTTCCTTTCCCTCCCCTCTCTGTCCCCCCCCCTGCTGCTCCTTTCCGCGCCGCAGGTTCCGCTGCCACATCGACGGCGGGAGGCTCGAACAAAAGACCTAACGGAAACCCAAGCGACCCCCGGCAGGCTTCCAACACTGCCTCCAGGAGGCCCCCGGGAGGCCTCCCACGAATTCCAAGCGAATGTCCAAGAGGCCTCTACCCCGCAGCCCAGGCACGGTGGCGGGATGGGCCGAAGGCCAGTGGACTCTCCAGACCCAAGGTCGCCCAAGAAGGCTCGAAGGGGCAAGCAAACACTGATGTTCCGTAGGTGTTCGAATAACTGTAGCGTTCCCGCTTGCTCCGCTTCCCGACACTGAAAGACGCCCCAAGAGGCCACGAGGATCGCCCCAAGACGGCCTAGTAGGTTTCAAAAAACGCCCAAGACGGCCCAAAGACGGCTCCAAAACGGCCGACGAGGTGTCCGAACTTGCCAGAGACAGAGAGGGCGCCAAACGCGGCCAAGGATTGGGAACGTGAACCGAACTTGGGATCGTCGCCCCATGATCCCACCAGGGGGCCTCAAGAGGCCCCGAAGAAACCCTGAAGAGGCTCAGCAGAGCTTCAAAAGAGGCCCCGAGGGCACTTAACCCCCCTCGGTATCATTGTGGCTCAAGCGTTGCGGCTGAGGCCCTTGTAGTGCAATCCGCATACATCACCACCTCGTGTCTGTCATACACGCAGAGGGCAATCTCCTCGTGCGCCGTTCCGCAGGATGGCAGTCCAGAAGGCACGCCTGACCTTGCGTTGGGTGGCGCCGCTTCTCTGCAGCCTGTCCGCCGCGACCCAACAGGGCGGGAGCAGTGCGTGCGCGGATTACGCTGGGGAGTACGAGGTGTGGTACGATGGGTCGCAGCGCAGTGAGACGATGATCATTTCTTGCGACTGCACCGCGACCCAGGGTGCCATATTCACTGACAGCCTTCGTTTTACTGATGTATCGTCCCAGTGCCCCAACGACGACTCGTCGTTCTACATCCTGAACACGCACGGGGCTGGCAAGTACGAGTGTTTGGCTCAGAGTGGCACTACGATCTCAGGTAATCACTACACCACTCCGGACGCAACTGATCCGCTGAGTACCGAGTACCGGTTGACACGCCGCGACTCTTGCAACCCTTGCGGCGAGTCGTGTCCCATCTGCGGGCAGGGCCAAACTTGCGCAGAAGCCATCAAGTGTCAGATGGACCAGTTGACGAGCGGCTTCGGCTCGAACAACCCTGGCGATGACGGAGTCCTCGAGAATGCCTGCAGCGTGGGCATCGCGGCCGTCAAGGACCAATGCTCGGCGTGCGACGGCTGCACCGAGTGCTCCGTCGCGCGGCTGTTGGACGACGCGCGCAGGGACAGCCGCGCGGCGGCGCAGGCGGGCCCCCTCGCGGCGGCCACCGCCGTGGCGATCCCGCTGTGCCTCCTCGCGGTAGCCTCGGGCGCGGCCGCCTTGCTCGCGGGGCTCCACCGGCGCGCCTCCGCGGCGCCGCTGGCCGTGCCGACGGAGCTTGGCGCGCTGTCCGAGACCGATGGCCAGTTGAGCTGATTGACAGCGCCGGCTGTCTCCAATCGTTTGATATTATCCGTAAGGGTTTCGCCCCCTGCCGCCGGCCCCCTCTCTATCAGAATGGGTTATGTCAGAGTCGCGTCGGTGCGTCTCGGCGCGCTGCTTTGGCGCATCTGGGAGCATCATGCGGGGGCGGATCGGAATCATCGGCGCATATTGAGACGCTGGGCGCCTCTTTGGGCCTCTTGGGGCCTCTCGGCGGCCTCTTGGGGCCGTCTGAGGCTTCTCGGTGTACAAATATCGAATGTTCGGTTCGTGCTTGGGCCCCTCTCTGGGCCGTCTTCGGGCCCTCTTGGGCCGTCTTGAGCGCTTCTTGGGCCATTTTGGAGCCCTCTTGGGCCGTCTTGGGGCCCTCTTGGAGGCGTCTTGGGCTGCCTCGTTGCGGTTTGGAGCTTTTTGAGCCGTCTTGGAGCGTCGGAAAGCAGAAAATGCGAGAAGGCCAAACTCTTTCAACATCTTTGTGTAAAATCTACGATTTGGGCCTCTTGGGGCTCTCTCGGAAGGCCTCTTGGAGCGCCCTGAGGGCCTCTTTGGGCCCTTATGTCGGGGGTGGACAGAACCCCCACCCTGACACGTCGATTAGTGAATTGTCCGTTTTCGGTTCTCGAGAGGGCGCCGTGGCCGTCAGTTTCCAGGCTTTCGCCCGCCAGATTTGGGCCCGAGGTCGTTTTCACTAAACCACGTTATGCTAAAGGGGGTTCTGTCCATCTCCGATTACGGGCCGTCTTGGAACCTCCTTCGGGCGCCTTGGAGCACTCTTGGCCTCGGCAATGCGAATTTGGTGTAATTTGCTCAGGTTTATTGCTTCAGTGACGCGAATATAGTTCAATGTGCAAGGGCGTGTTGCTTCGGGGACGGGAATATCGTGTAATTTACAAGGGTTTGTGGCCTCCTGGGCGCAAACATTGTGTATTTTACGAGGGCTTGTGGCCTGGGGGACGCGAGTATTGAGTAATGTATTGGGGATTTTGGCTTCGGGGACGCGAACCTCATGTATTTTTATATGTTCCACGCGCCCCCATGAATTCACAGAACGCGATCCCGACTTGGTGAATTGGGTGGTTTGGGGCTCCACTTGACAGTAGGAAGCACACTTCGGCCTACAGCCTGGTGGCCTCACAAGGGGGCCGGCAGACTTCAGCAATGAAGTCAACATCCGTAACATGGGCGCAAGGTCATAATGCAAGACCCTTGAAAGTCCCACTTGCCATTCAGAGCCTCGTGTGCGTTGGGGCAGATTGCAGGGGGTGCGGTGATTAGTCCGGTGTGCTGATCCAAACAGGCTGGCCACAAAGTTTCCCGAACGACTGGGTTTGGCTTGCCTGTGGATCCCATCTCGCGCCACCGCGCGGCTGTGAGTTCGACCCACGACGATCTCACAGCGGCAAAGCATGTGGACAGATGTTGCCCATTGTAGCTCGAAGCCAATGGCGGAAGACCGACGGGCTCCTCCTCCTCCCTCTCCCCCCAGGGAGCCCCTTCGCCTCCCCTTCTCTTCCCTCTTCGTCCGGCTACGTCCAGCCGCGGCGAAGAGAAAGGTCCGCCCAGGGCCTCTCGGGCCTGTCTCAGGCCGACGTGAGCGGATCGCAGGAAGTCGTGGAAGCCACTTAGACCGTTTCCGTGATCCTTGGGGACGGAGAGTGTATCGAAACACAGAGGCCCCGAAGAGTTCGACCATCCAGCGTAGCTAGAACTTGAGCGCGCGCGCGAAGCGCACGCGGTGGTTCTAGAATCTCTCTCTCTCTCTCTCTCTCTCTCTCTCTCTTTATATATATACACATGTATACACATTGTGTATATTTTCACACACACATACATACATATATATATATATATATATACACAGTCGGCCCTGCTTGGAAGGCCGGCCCTGCCACATCGAGGGTACCCGTGTGTCTTGTGTGTCGCGACCCATGCCTTCTGCCTTCTAAGGCAACGTGGCCTTCGGAAGGGTATTGGGTCCTACTTCCTCGTCCCCCCCTCCGTCCCCGTGCGTCGTCGTTGTGGTCGCAGTCCTCGCCGTCTTCGTCGTCTTGGTCGCCCTCAACTTCCATCCCTTCCTTTCCCTCCCCCTCTCTGTCCCCCCCCTCTGCTGCTCCTTTCCGCGCCGCAGGTTCCGCTGCCACATCGACGGCGGGAGGCTCATGATCCAGGCCCTGGGGGGGTCGTTCTGCGGATATGCGCCTGTGCTCTTGATGCAATTGAGAGGAGGAGGGGGATGAGGAGGGTGAGGAGGAGATAGAGTAGGAGGCAGAGGAGGGGATGGGGAAAGGGGACAGGGGAGGGGGAGGATGAGTTAGGGACAAAACCCCCTCCCCGCCCGCAAGCCCTCTCGCTCACTCCCACCCGCCCTCCCAACACATACATACGTAGCACCCGAGTCTGGCCCGAGCCTCAGCATATTCAGCAGTCGTCTTTGGATGGGCAGCTACTGGGGGCCAATCCGCCGCCGCCGCCGCCGCCGCCGCCGCCGCCGCCGCCGCCGCCACCGCCGCCGCCGCCCCCCGCTGCCAAACCGCCGCCGCAGCCGCTGCCGCCACCGCTACCGCCGCCCGCCCGCCGCCGCCGCCGCCGCCGCCGCCCGCCGCCCCCGCCGCCGCAGCCGCCGCCGCCGCCGCAGCCGCCGCAGCCGCCGCCACCGCCGCCCCCGCCGCCGCAGCCGCCGCCGCCGCAGCCGCCGCAGCCGCCGCCGCCGCCGCCCGCAGCCGCCGCCGCCGCCGCCAAGTGTACTCTGTATTGTTTTCCCCCAAACAGGTTGCTGAACGGGGTGCTGTTGTGGTAGAAACTAACTCCGGCCGAGGGAACGCGGATCAGAGACATCCTCACACAAATTTTATGGTTTTGGCCGTTTCGCTTGAGACATCCTCACAACTCTCGTTTCTGAGTTGGCCAGGATTGGCCGTTTCGCCTGAGACATCTTCGAAAAGTTGCGCTCCGGGACGTCGCGCGAGAGGTGGTCCGGGCCGTTTCGCTTGAGACATCCTCGAACTTCTGAGCTCTGAGATGCCCTGCGCGAGGTGGTCCGGCCCGTCTCGCCTGAGAGATCCTTGCAACTCTGAGCTCTGAGATGCCGTGCGCAAGGTGGTCCGGCTTGTTTCGCACAAGACATTCTCGCAACTCGCGAGAGGTGGTCCAGCCTGGGCGCCCAGAAGACCACATGTTACATATCCTCCATGGGACCCTGCGAGCCTCAGGAGGCCCTAGAGAGGTCCAGGAGGCCGCAGGACGCCCAGGACAGGCCCCAGGGGCCCGCAGGAGATTCCCAGGATGCTCCCAGGAGGCCCCAGGAGGCCCCCTATCAGAACGTGTCAAGTTAATACACATCCGATGTCGATTCGTTGATTCTTCCTGCTCTTGTGCCCCCCCCTTCATTTTGAGGGGCCCCAGCAGCCAGAGGTTAGATATCCCCCCTGGGAGCCCCAATAGGTTGCAGGAAACCTCAGGTGGAGTTCAGGAGGCCAAAGGAGGCCCAGGAGGAAGCTCCAGGAGGTCCCCAGGAGGCCCCAGGAGGCACCAGGAGGCCGCAGGACGCCCAGGACAGGCCCCAGGGGTCCCCAGGAGATTCCCAGGAGGCTCCCAGGAGGCCCCAGGAGGCCGCCTATCAGAACGTGTCAAGTTAATACACATCCGGTGTCGATTCGTTGATTCTTCCTGCTCTTGTGCCCCCCCCTCCATTTGGAGAGGCCCAAACGGCCACAGGTTAGATATCCCTCCTGGGAGCCCCAAGAGGCTTCAGGAAGTCCCAGGTGGGGTCAGGAGGCCACAGGAGGCCCAGGAGGAAGCCCCAGGAGGTCACCAGCAGGTCCCAGGAGGCCCCAGAAGGCCCCTGCAACTCGGAGCTCTGAGACGCCGCGCTCGAGGTGGTCCGGCCCGTTTCGCCTGAGACTTCCTCGCACCACGTTTCGCCAGAGACATCGTCGCAACTCTGGGGTCCGAGATGCCGCGCGCGAGGTGGTCCAGCCCGTTACGCTGGAGACATCCTCGCAACTCTAGGCTCCGAGATGCCGTTCGGGATGAAGAGGAGGTGGAGGAGGAGGAGGAGGAGGAGGAGGAGGAGGAGGAGGATGGAAGGGAGAAGGAGGAGGCGGATGATGTGCATGAGGGAGCAGGCAGGAGGAGGGGGAGGCCCCAGAGAGCTCCAGGAGGCCGCAGGACGCCCAGGACAGGCCCCAGGGGTCCCCAGGAGATTCCCAGGAGGCTCCCAGGAGGCCCCAGGAGGCCGCCTATCAGAACGTGTCAAGTTAATACACATCCGGTGTCGATTCGTTGATTCTTCCTGCTCTTGTGCCCCCCCCTCCATTTGGAGAGGCCCAAACGGCCACAGGTTTGATATCCACCCTGGGAGCCCCAAGAGGCTTCAGGAAACCCCAGGTGGAGTTCAGGAGGCCACAGGAGGCCCAGGAGGAAGCCCCAGGAGGTCCCCAGGAGGCACCAGGAGGCACCAGGAGGCCCCCGCAACTCGGAGCTCTGAGACGCCGCGCTCGAGGTGGTCCGGCCCGTTTCGCCTGAGACTTCCTCGCAGCACGTTTCGCCCGAGACACCGGCCCGTCTCGCCTGAGACATCCTTGCAACTCTGAGCTCCGAGATGCCGTGCGCAAGCTGGTCCGGCCCGTTTCGCACAAGACATTCTCGCAACTCTGCGCTCCCAGATGCCGCGCAAGAGGTGGTCCAGCCTGGGGGCCCAGAAGACCACATGTTACATATCCCCCCTGGGACCCTGGGAGCCCCAGGAGCTTGAGGAGGCCGCAGGACGCCCAGGACAGGCCCCAGGGGTCCGCAGGAGAAGCCCAGGAGGCTCCCAGGAGGCCCCCTATCAGAACGTGTCAAGTCAATCCACATCCGGGGTCGATTCGTTGATTTTTCCCGCTCTTGTGGCCCCCTCCCCATTGTGGGGGGCCCCGACGGCCACATGTTAGATATCCCCCCCTGGGAGCCCCAAGAGGCTTCAGGAAGCCCTAGGTGGGCTCCAGGAGGCCCCAGGAGGCCCCAGGAGGCCCACGCAACTCGGAGCTCTGAGACGCCGCGCTCGGGGTGGTCTGGCCCGTTTCGCCTGAGACTTCCTCGCAGCACGTTTCGCCCGAGACATCGTCGCAACTCTGGGGTCCGAGATGCCGCGCGCGAGGTGGTCCAGCCCGTTTCGCCCGAGACATCCTCGCAACTCTGGGCTCCGAGATGCCCTGCGCGAGGTGGTCCGGCCCATCTCGCCTGAGACATCCTCGAAACTCTGAGCTCTGAGATGCCGTGCGCAAGGTGGTCCGGCTCGTTTCGCACAAGACATTCTCGCAACTCTGAGCTCTCAGAGCGCTGCGCAAGAGGTGGTCCAGCCCGCGGGCCCAGAAGACCACATGTTACATATCCCCCCTGGGACCCTGGGAGCCCCAGGAGGCCCCAGAGAGCTTCAGGAGGCCGCAGGACACCCAGGACAGGCCCCAAGGGTCCGCAGGAGATTCCCAGGAGGCTCCCAGGAGGCCCCAGGAGGCCCCCTATCAGAACGTGTCAAGTTAATACACATCAGGTGTCGATTCGTTGATTTTCCCCGCTCTTGTGGCCCCCTCCCCATTGTGGAGGGCCCCGACGGCCACATGTTAGATATCCCCCCCTGGGAGCCCCAAGAGGCTTGAGGAAGCCCCAGGTGGGGTCCACGAGGCCACAGGAGGCCCAGGAGGAAGCCCCAGGAGGTCACCAGGAGGTCCCAGGAGGCCCCAGGAGGTCCCCGCAACTCGGAGCTCTGAGACGCAGCGCTCGAGGTGGTCTGGCCCGTTTCGCCTGAGACTTCCTCGCAGCACGTTTCGCCCGAGACATCGTCGCAACTCTGGGGTCCGAGATGCCGCGCGCGAGGTGGTCCAGCCCGTTTTGCCCGAGACATCCTCGCAACTCTGGGCTCCGAGATGCCCTGCGCGAGGTGGTCCGGCCCATCTCGCCTGAGACATCCTCGAAACTCTGAGCTCTGAGATGCCGTGCGCAAGGTGGTCCGGCCCGTTTCGCGCAAGACATTCTCGCAACTCTGAGCTTTCAGATGCTGCGCAAGAGGTGGTCCAGCCTGGGGGCCCAGAAGACCACATGTTACATATCCCCCCTGGGACCCTGGGAGCCCCAGGAGGCCCCAGAGAGCTTCAGGAGGCCGCAGGACGCCCAGGACAGGCCCCAGGGGTCCGCAGGAGATTCCCAGGAGGCTCCCAGGAGGCCCCAGGAGCCCCCTATCAGAACGTGTCAAGTTAATACACATCAGGTGTCGATTCGTTGATTTTTCCTGCTCTTGTGCCCCCCCCCCTTCCCAATTTGGGGGGCCCCGACGGCCACATGTTAGATATCCCCCCCTGGGAGCCCCAAGAGGCTTCAGGAAGCCCCAGGTGGGGTCCAGGAGGCCACAGGAGGCCCAGGAGGAAGCCCCAGGAGGTCACCAGGAGGTCCCAGGAGGCCCCAGGAGGCCCCCACAACTCGGAGCTCTGAGACGCCGCGCTCGAGGTGGTCCGGCCCGTTTCGCCTGAGACTTCCTCGCAGCACGTTTCGCCCGAGACATCGTCGCAAATGTGGGGTCGAGATGCCGCGCGCGAGGTGGTCCAGCCCGTTACGCTGGAGACATCCTCGCAACTCTGGGCTCCGAGATGCCGTTCGGGATGAAGAGGAGGTGGTGGAGGTGGAGGAGGAGGAGGAGGAGGAGGAGGAGGAGGAGGAGGAGGAGGCATGTTTTAACATGCCATGCCAGCCCGCACTGGACGGGCACGCAATCGACCTTGGAAACCGCAGTGGGTCTAAAAACCCGGTTTGGGGATACTGCACTCCGGCTATAATTTGACAGGGATGGTGGGGGGGGACCGCATCGGGTTGGCTGCGCATGTTCCGAATTTGGAGGCAGAGTGACAAGGGATGGTGGGGGGGGGTCGTCATGGTCCTTGGTTGGCCCCCAGTCGCCTCGGGGAGGGGGTGTTTATTAATAGGGAACAGTGATTGAGTCGGGGGGGATGGAAGCCAGTGGGAGGTGGGGCAGTAGGTACGATGGTGGGATGGATAGGCGAGCAGGAGGAGGGTGCGATGAACGACGTCGAGCGGCGGCGCGTCGACTCAAAGGAAGTGGCTGCCCGACCCCTGGGGTTGGGCCGCTGCGCCGCCCGTTCCAGCCACTTCTCGCTGCAGCCCGCGGGAGTCGAATGTC